CATCCAGCTAAAAGAGTACAAAGAGTGATTCAACTACTTTGAAGTTTTAAAATTCAAAGAATACAAAGTTCAAAAAAATACAAAGGATTACAAAATAACATTTGAAGTGTTGAAAATTTAAAAACCTCTATAGATTCAACATTAAAAACGATTGCATCATGAAGGACTTTGGCCTCAAATTTGTGCCAAATCACAGTGTAAACTACCAGTTTGGTGACTGTTGTATGTCCGGAACAGTACCAAGCACTGTGCCTTGGTGTCGGTATTCAGTAATCACATGTGATTTTTTTTTACCTAAACACTACATTTGTGCAGCCTGGAGCTCAGACCAGCTCAGGTGGTTTTGGCTGATCTGTCATCAGATTTGGACGATTACGTGGCTCCGTGCTGAAAACCCTACACCTGTCATCAGATTCCAGTTTATCACATTTGTCTCTTACGCATGCATGTCTATCAAGCATCCACTCCTTTGAATGGGAGATCAAAAAGAAGATACATTCCTGAAGAGCTAGAGGCGGAGAAAGGGAGGGGGCCGGGGGAGGAGGGCTCTGAAACAAAAGAGGGTGCTGTGTAAACACTGCAGTGACAGTTCATCGGTTATTTTAGCCCACCATTAGGCCTCTTGAAGGCATGCCAGCTCCAGTGGTCTTTGTTAAATACAAACATGAAAGGAACATTCCTGAGCCTTCAGCAGAGCTCACAGTGCAGGTTTCAGAATTACATACAGTTACATTTGATTCTGACAAAACACACTTTTCTCCACTTATGTCTCTGAATTTCAAAGGACACCTTGGTGTAATGTGATGGCTATTAAACCAGCATGACTTTATTAGTGACTAGTTTTACCATTTGTCGTGTGGTCACATGACTGTGGTGAGCAGGTTGTAGACACGGTCATGGAGCAGTAGATTATTTTTACACTAGAAAGGTTAGTCCCAGACTTCACTCAATATCACACCAATGTAATAATAAAAATTAGAACTTTATTGATTCCACACTTGGCAAAATCTTGTGCTAACAGCCCCTCACAGGCGCCAAGTATATAGTTCCTCAGGGAATCGAACCCATGACGAGATGGTCTCTGGCAGGCATGTTAACCCCTACACTATGGAGCCACTAATGTGTTTGTAATAAAGACATCAAATCCTAAGATGCTTTTTCGTAGCCCTCATGAACCACTTGAGCTGCTCATCATCAGTGATGTCACTGTTGTCTGATTCTCCTCTTCACGACGCACCAGACGTTTTCAGTGGAACAAACACACGGCTGTCTGGCCAGTCATAACATGCACTCTCTGTCTACAAAGCCACGTTTCTTTTAAGGTTGCAGGATCAACTTTATGGACACTGGCAAATTCTTTAAGAAAACAGAAGAGAGATTTCAGTTTGGTGTAGATGTCACTGACCTTCAGCTGTGTTTAAAGTAATTAGGCAATTAGACATTGTAATTAGGCAAGATGTTTCACAAGTTTGTATAACTATTAGTATCAGTGCATTATACCCTATAAACTGTGACTGTTTAGATACTGATTGGAAATCACAAATCACCCGAATTCTGAGTTGCTGAACGTCACTGTTTGGCAGGAGTTGCCCTTAAGTATTTTAATATTAGCAATTTCACTTTCGTGTTGAGCATTTGTTTTCAGTTTGTGGTCAAAAACAAAGATGTTCATAAAAAGTAAAACCCCAGTTTTGTAAGATGTCCAGTAGCCGGCAGCCTGTGAATAATTAACCAGAGTATTTGACAGAGCTGTTGCTATCCCGTCTGTGAGTGTGTGTATAAACATGTGAGTAAATGGCTGTGACTGAGAAAAGCCTCATCTAGGTACAAACATTTAACAACTCATCATAAATATAAGGAAGCTGTGCCCATGAAGTTGTCGAGCTCAGCTGCTGATTTCACAACCTGACTTTTACAGTAAAACGACCGCAGCCTTCTGCTCTCTGTTTACATCACACCTACCCTGTGTTTGGAAATATATTAATGACAATATTATCATATCTACATCTGCAGGTTTTGACAGGTTACTAAGCATCTTCAGCTCTTCAACAGCAGCAACAACAACAACAACAAAATACAACAGAGAGAAGATTTCCCAACAGTGTATCTCTTCATCCATCACTGTCTGAAGTTCCTATCATATCCTGTTGACTCAACTCTCTTTGTTTCAACGCCCATCGTCATAAACCCAGACATACCACACACACACACACACACTTCACCACTTGTGTCATCAGTTACAGGGAAAAGAAAACAGCTTTATTTACTCTTCTCTGTGCCGGTAAAACCACGCGACTGTGTTGTAAAAGTCTGAGTCACATCCTTCTCCATCCTTCAATGTGCTGATGAGTTTTTGGGTTTTCATACAAGAGAGAGTTCCTAGGTCAAGGGCTGACAGTGTAAGGATACTCAGGTAACACATTACAAAATGTAAAAAGAAATTGAAGCTAATGTCACTTTTTAAAGCCAAACAAAATGTTTCATTTGCTATAAGTTTTGTAGTTTTGTAAAAACATATTTGTGTGAACCTGTGGAACAGTTCAAGTTGGGTGCCTTTTTTTCCCTCAAAATTGACATTGACAGCTCCCAAATCCACAGATCCTGACCCTGAAAAACAGGTGGGTGGGTGGGCAGTTAGAGGGTGAGTTGTTCGTCTTCCCATAAATATTCATCATCTGCTCCTGCAGTCCATCAACAAAGCAGAAAGGAAATTAAATTTATACCTTCACATATCAACTAGACACATCTGAGTCTTTATTTAGTCCACGTGATGACAAATGTGGTTTGCACACTTGTCAAACATGAGTGGGGATTAGGACAAGACACTGAAATCGACCATAGGTTTGAGTGTTAGTGTAAACGCCCCTGGAGTGAACTAGTGAACTCTCCTGGTTGTAGCCTGGCCACGCCCAGTGACAGCTGGGATTCGCCTCAGTTTAAAAGCAAATACTGGTGTGTTGTTGTATTATGTCCATGTATCTTAACCAGCGCATGTACGATTGTCTCATATGGCTGTACTAGATAACCCATGGCACACCAGTTTTCTACATGTAAATTTATCTTTTGAATTTAGTGAAGGTCAGGTTTGGACAGATAACTCGGTTGAAGTCGGACCTGGTATTGTTATTAGGTTCTTTGGCAAAAGTATTTTTAAATATATTTTATAACAGGATAGTGATGAAAACAATATCATGATTTCATCTTGAACAAGTTTAGGAACTTCTGAATGCATGTTGGACAGTGTCTTTAATTATGGGTACAATACAGTGTCAGTGACACTTTACACTTATTTTGGTGACAGATTTGTTGCTGCCAATGATTGGTCTGATTAAAGCGCATTTCTTGAAGATCCTGGCTAACCCTTAGCTGAAAGGGATCTCATCATCTGCATAGAGGAGCGAGTTGGGCTGGCAGTCAGTTGTTCTTGGTCATGGTTCGATGGCTCGCAGAGACCCATGTCATTGAATCAAATGTTGACCTTTGAAGGTAGTCAGTATCTCAGTGTCATGACCTGTCCCTGGGCCAAGGATTGAGCATACCCACTCAAACAAAACTGCAACTTTTATGTATAATCTGCATTGTTTTTGTTACTTAAATGTTTTCTTATATCTCTGATGTCACATACAGTCTGTTTCCTTGTCTCTCTTTTCGACAAGATCAAGTCAAATTTCTAAATCTGTCCAGTTAGTACACTTTCTTTGTGTGTGTGAGAGTTGGGGGTCAGAGAGTTTCACTTCAAATACGTTGAAAGCACAGGGCAATTAGCTATGCAAAATGAGATCTGTTGCTCTAGCCTCACGTTTCTTTAAAGTAGAGATCAGCAGCAGACAGAGGGAAGCAAATTTATGTGCTTCAAAGTTAGCCACGGTGAAATGCCAGGAGTGTGGCCTCTTTCTAGCCTGTGGTCATATTTATGCCTTATGATGTCATCCAACAGCCGTATGTTTGGGAGGATCAGGGCATACACCCACACACATATCATCATACAGCTGTTCAACCCCCAACGCTGTTGGTCTGAACAGTCTGACTTCAGTGGCGCCGAGTCCGAGTCTTCCACTCATGTCTGTTCTGTTCTGCCGTCGGTCCGCCGAGCTTGACTCGTTCAGCTTTACTTCACTGACACTTTCTTCTCCAAAAAACACTTACCTGTGATTCCCCTGCACTTGTGGAAGATTGGAGAGGAGAACTTTAATAAAGATCACGTGTGAGATGAGCTCGGCTGTGCCCCCTGTCTGTTTGTGTAATGGTGGAAGCAATAGTCTGAGGAACATGGAAAGAATGAGGCCACTTATTTACCCAGATGGTTTACTGGTGTAGGTGTGAGGCTGGCCAGCTCACTGTGGGAACACAACGCTTGCTTTTCTTGGTATTGCTGACCGTTTTTAGGACCTCTGTGTTTTTTTTCCCCTCAGCTCTCTCCAGCTTTGTTTGCTCTGGATGGCATGTTTGATTATTTATCGTAAGGGAAGGGGAGTAGCTGGAGTAATAAACATGTGACTAAACTGTATTTTGTTTTCCACTGAGAAGGCCGTGTCCTTTAGCAGATATTCAAAGCAGCCATAAAGCATTCTATTTGCTTTCTGCTGGACAGTTTTTACTGAGCTTTAGAAGGATTAAAAGTGCTGATTAGTGCTTTGGACACTCTTTGCTGTTAGTGCAACATGTCAACAGACAAATATTTCCTCTGAATGACTGCAGTTGATTTTTAGTCCTTTTCCCCTTTTGCTGTGTGAAGTTGTTTTGACATGTGATCATTGTTCCCTGTCTGTTTGTGCAGAAAATATTTACACAACTGCAGTTTTATGATTCTGAATACGAGCGTATGAAAGATTGTCTGTGATGTTTGTTTGTTATCTTTCAGAAGGCCAAGGGAATATTGACATAAGTGCTTTCAAGAGACTTTCAACTACCTCTCAGTGAAGCGTTTCTAGTGGTATTTTTTTTTCTTGTTTGTATTTTCAAAAAAAAAAAAGATTTTTTTGTGTGTGTTTATTTTTCAGGCCGTCCAAGTTGCACGGCAGATACTCCTCCACCAACAGCCGCAATCTCAATCGCATCAGCTGCAGCCTCAACAAAACACTGGCCGCAAATCCCCCACAGCCACTGAGAAGCAGCAAAGTCTACAGGTACTGTAAATATGTTCACCACTCACAGGAAATCCCATATTTAATTTGGCAAAAAAACAATGTAAATGGCTTGTTCTTATAACTCTGACTGTGACTGTGAGAATATGTCTACGATGTTACTTTAGGTTTGTGCAAACATATTTTTTTAACCTTTTGTTCTATGAATGAGTTAAACACAATGGTGTCCTGTTAGAAATCGGTTTATTTGCGCAGTACTGGTAGTATTCTTTTGAGTCGCTGCGTAAGACTGTCAGACTTCAAGTTGAGATGCTGTTAAAGGGGTTTAATGTTGTAGGAATTGGAAAAAAAGTCTTCTGAGCTTTTATGTTTGTTTTTATTATTGTAAAAAAAGAGTGTGGCATGTCCATACCACAAGCAGTAGGAGGTGCTGTGGAGGAGCCCACCAGAGAGGTGGTATAGTAAGTAATAGCGAGAGGTTGTTCAGAGGTTGGAAAAGGTGAAGTCAACTCCACTACTATTGAGATTCAAAGACAACAGATTAGCAGTACAAAAACTACGTATCTGATACTATATTTGTGTAAATTGCAGGTCAGCTGGCTCATACAACTGCATCTTTGAATGGAGTAGGCTGTTTGTGTCAAAGTGAAATTGCAAATAAGTCCAGGACGTATTTGGTAATTAATATGGAGGCCCTGATCCCTACGTGTTGGTATATACATTATGTGCATAGCTAATATTTAAAACCCTCGCCATCCCATTGGGGGCCCTTTTTAATGAGCTGTTGTAGCAGCTAGGTCTAATGTCAGGTCGTGAAAAAAGACTCTTTGTTGTGCAGATGTCTTTGGAATAGCTCCAGAGGAAGAAATATGACTGTGATGACCTTTCAGTTGTGTGCGTATTTGTCAGGATTCAAGTAGGTTGAAAGGATCAAACTAAACACTTTCCTCAGCCTAGCAGAGAATTGCACAGCGGAGGTCAACAGTGGGGACCACAACAGCAGATTACACTGTACAACCAGTTGTTAGTACACAGTGAAGTACGAGACCATCTCCTGCAGACAAAGACAAAATTAAAATTCTAATTTATTAATGTATACAGAGAGCTCGGCCAAGCTGTCGCTCAGCTATTGAAAAGAGAGCCGGGCCTTTCTCCCCACATCGCCGGCCCTCCCCTGCCCTGCTCTTGTGAAGAGAGAGCACAGGCTCTCGCTGTAGTAACAAACTAACGCCAATAAATTGCCTGCTCTTTAATCTCACGTGTTGTGCTTTACCGCTACAGAAAAAGACACAGGAACAGACAAGTGTTTGTCTTTCTGTAGGGTATAAGTTCTTCTAATTAAACAGACCAGAACCATATATACAGGAGGTTCATACATAAACATCACTGTGCCCTTCTGTGTAATGATGTTTTACATTGTTGTGTTTACGATTCTTTACTTCCAGTTTTCTGGTCTGGGTCATATATATATATACACACATATATATATTCATAAAATATATACATATATATATATATGTGTGTGTGTGTGTGTGTTTGTGTGTGTATATATAGTCCAACAGTTAAATCCAATAGTTATGAAGTAGTAGAGTAGTGAAGAAAGAATCTTAGCTAAGAAACAAACCCCAAGAAATCCAGATTACCCCCCACCCACCCCATACTCTGACTCCATCTCAACAAGCGGCCAAGTCAGAGCTGCTGCTCCCGGATTCATAATTGTATCGCGTCCATGTAAACACGGCCTTTGACTCGTGAAGGTGTGACTCACTTTTGTATTTATTCTCATTCACTGCTAAAATAAGCACAGTTCAAAGAGTAAAACACAGACTGGGGGGAAAAGTTCAAAAACAAGTTTTTACGATCCTTGGTCATCTGTGAGTGCTTCTGATTTGATATTTTTAGCAGCTCACGTCTCCCTCCTACCACTGCAGCGTCCACCCCTGCCTCAGGGTGAAGATGCCTTCACTGTAGCCCCAACAGCCTGGAGCTGCTTTAATCAGACGGTGTTTACAAACAGTTGCCACGCCACCGGGACGCCAGCTTAACATACTTGACTTGTCGAAAGACCAGTAAATTGCATTGACAGAATGACATGTGTAATTAAACGAATCCCTGCCACTTTTACCTCTCGCACTTCACACCTACAGTGGTGGAGCGACGAGAGCCAGCGACTCCCACCCCGCTAATTACCATTATCAGTGAAATGTTAGGGTTTGACTCATTAGTTCCATGTGCATTTAATTAGAGGCGGGCTGAAATTGGATTTAACTTATTACTTTTTCATGGATCACTTTCTTGTCATCACTTCAAATTGGATTGAAGCCCCAGGTAACTAATTATGCCAGCTGCAGGTTCAGGATTGGAGAAATAGGTAATTAGGAACAACACTGTCGGACCCTCGCTGATAGTCCACCAGCACCAAGGAGTTGGGGGAGACGGGGGACGGAAACTCATTTGTGATGTTGCCAGTGCCTGGCTGGTTAACTACGCATTTATTTCATCTCCTATAGCCAATTAAATGGCTTTAAGCTGAGCTAAAGATGTTCATTCAACATGGTGTTTATGCTAACGGTGTAACTCTGAGACTACGCTCTTTTTGCATCTGGAAATCTGTGTGAAATTTACTGTCACACCGTCAGTATGACATTTGATGTATATGACCAGAGCACTCCATGTTGTTCTTGAGCTGCTGCTCTTGTCTTTCCTAATCTTTGGGTGATCTAAATTATACTGAAAAACCGACGTTGTTTCTTGGACCAGCTGCGATCTGGTGAACATCCTGTCTGAGAACCACATACTCACTCATATTGAAAACATGGTCTTCAGCTGGAACACAAGAATGTGGAGTTTGTAAATGTATCCTCTGTAAAGATGAGTTTGTTGGGTCTACTGCTTCTTAATTTGGAAAGTGTTTTTTTTCCCTTAGTTAAATCTAAAAAATCACTTAAGTCGTACAAAAATATCTGAATGTCAGAGGCAGTATTGAATTAACAATACCCTGTGCAATGGTCTGCCTATTTAAGAGCAAACATAAATTTACATATATTTACATACATACATACACACACACACACATATATATATATGCATATATATTTATATATGCATATATACATGTGTGTGTGTGTGTGTATGTGTTCTATCATTTTGTTTTGTCAAAACCTTCTCACCATCAGCAGATGAATATTACATAGAACATATTCAGGATGTCCAAAGTGCACATGTCCAGAAAGAGTAACAGAGACACTCTGGTGATATTGGTCTACTTCTTTGGCAGCAGACGGTATTCTTATCTGTAATAAGCCACTGTCTTCACCTCTTCCCAAATTTTTTTTTTTTTGTTAGCTCTTTTTCTTCCTCTGTTTTTACACCACAGAGGGCGCCTCTAGGTCAAGAGATAGTGTCTTTTCAGTTACTTGGTTGAAAGCCTTTTAAAGTTCTAGAGGACCCCTCTGCTGCCCCTCCTCCCTGTGTTTGCTCTACACATCCCTCATTTGTGTGTTGGGGAGAAGTGTGATTTGACACAAACCAGGGCAAAGCCTGCGTCTGACAGGACAGGGAGAAGCCGCCGGCTGGCTTTCTCTCTCCCTCTCCTACTGTTTTTGCAGTAAGCCCATGGCGTTGTCCTGACACATGTATACCACAGCGCTCCAATCTGTAAGTCATTAGAACACTGGGCCCCGGCCTGTCATCTGGAGCTCTGCCAGGGCTGCAGGGTGATCCCAGGCAGCATTTTGAGGTGTTACCACGGTCCAGTCGGCCAGTGGTCAAGCAGTAGTCGCCCACTGGCGAGGTGACAGTGAGCACAAGACTGGATTAATGTTCTGGGTTAGGTGCCATTAGGAAAATCTTTTCAAATGTAAGAATAGCTGGTCAAGAGTAAAAAGAGTGCAGAAGAAATTAAAATCATTTAACTGTATATATATATACTGTATATATACTGTATATATACTGTATATATATATACTGTATGTATACATATACATATATATGTATTTGAAGCAGCTATGTTATATGTTTACATACAAAAATACCAAATTCCTTCAGTTATATAAGATCCTGACAGAATCCATCGTTAAACAGATATCAGTGAACAACAAAGTGTCGTTTACAGCCGACAACCAATGAAACTGGTGAATGTCAGTGGTGACACCCTGATATACGTATGCAGGCTTTAGATCAATATCCATCAGGCTTTAACGCATTATTACTGTTGGTTGGATCCTATGGAGATCATCACCCATGTTTGTAAAATGTCTCAAGGTTAGGCTGTAACGACATCTTGGTATGACTCGTGCACTGCTCCGAGGCGATAGGATCAGTCAGAAATCATCCACACCGCAGTAAAGCCAACACTAACAAGGAAACAGGCCTTCTCATTGTTTTCCCTGTCATGTTGTAAAAATGTGTTATGTGTGCAATATAGATTAGAACACGGTTTGAGATAATCCTGTCAGGATGAAGTCATGGGTTCCACTTCCATGCAGCTAAGCGGTCGTTTGGCGTTCACACCGTCTCCGAGGCCCGTTTGAACTCCCTTGCGAGCAGGTTCACAAACAGAACTGTTTCCTTGTTGGACTGCACAAGGTTTTATTTGTCAGAATGTTGGATATACAAGTTCCCAATCTCATTTAGTACCTCATTGCAGTCATCACACTTTTTAAAGTTGTTGACCTGAAGAGAGAACCAATGAATGAGTGCAGTTTGTCGGAAATCTTTCATCACTTGTTACAAGCTTAGAGTTTTGTTATGAAGGAGACTATGATTATAATTAAAGGTAACAGGATTGCCAAAAATCTGTATTGAAAAGTAACACATACCAAAAACATGAAATTTGATG